TGGTCTGAGGGACAGTGAACTGGCCCCCTGTCTAAAAAGTTTGAGGACCCTTGGCTTAATAGATTTATTGTTTTATTGATTGTCTAAAGTTAGAAAGTGATAGAGAAAAATGCTAATAATGCAGATTAAACTTATAAGTGTGTCATCTCTATAGCTGTGACATTGCGAATAGTCCCGAAAAACTGAGAAAGTGTCTCTCCATTATCAGAAAACTATTACCCGATTCAGGAAAAAAAGTTGCTCATGTCATTGGTGAATGAATGAAGTTCTGATGTATGTGTATTGTTTCTCCTTTGTCTTACTCCTTCATAGAAACAAAAATATCAATTTTTAAAATTTTTATTTTTTTGATATTTTAATCAGTATTCATGCTGGAGCTATATTCTCAGAGATGGTTGTTAAGCACTTAAACAGCCCACGCTAGTCCTCGGGCATATTCTGCTTTAACTGAAACTGCCAAAAGGTTCTCCAAAGTGGTTGCACTGATTTTCACATCTTTTGGTAGGTTTTTAAACAAAGTTCGGCTGTACCTTGTACTCCTGTCTCAGGACCAGCAGTTTCCTAGCCACCAAGGCTATGGCTGATGGAGCAAGCTGACACAGGCTGGCTGGTACTTATCAGCAAAGCAAGCGCCACCTCCCATAGCACCGTTGTTGAGGTGTGATCCAGGCAGGGCAGGGAGTTGCGGGAAGGAAGAGGCTACGAGGGTGCAGCCACTCAGCTTTGTGGAGGGGGCTGCACCCAGATGGCCCTGAGAGTTGGAGTGGGCAAGGGAGGCGCCAGGTACCAGGGTGGGGACACCTGTGAGCACTGAGGGGCAAGGAATGTGGCTGGCCAACAATGGCCATCAGCAGTGGCAGAGGGCAGAGGCGGGGGCACTCCCACTGTCCAGGGCTCCTGTCCTTTATGCATCAGTCCCCATGCCCACCAGGAAAGGGCGCCTGCATGGGCTGTCCTGGGCTGGTCCCCTCATTAGAGGAAGCTGTGCTCCCTACTTAAGACTTCGGCCATAGGTCTTGTATTTCACTGCTCAGATATAGTCTGAATACATCCTTTTGTGCACAGACACCTGTGGGCAACGCAGAGTGGCCCGTCAAATAATGAATCAACATTGTCTAAAACTCAGCACACAAACCCTTCTGAGGCCTGTGAATATGCCATTGTCCTCATAGCTGGGACACACATTTCCTGCTCTTTCTCTCACGGAGAGGCCATGATGAGGTCAATAATCAACTACAAATAAGCTTTAGTTATAAAATTCCCAGAGCCAGGCCCAGCGCCAGATGGGGGCCGTGCAGGGAGAAGCTTCAGCCCCCCTCTGAGTCCTTGAACAAGGAAGGAACCGAAGTGCACGCAACAGGGCAGGTGAGTGGTAGGTTCCTGTAACCGACGACTTTGAAAGGGGGACTGGCTGCACATTCCACCGCTCCGGGCACTTGGTGGGACCCAGCAGAAAGGGCAGAGTCGGGTGACGAGGAAAGCTGTGGAATCCAGACTCCTGAAATGTGAGAGCAAGCCACAGACACGCTCCGGAGTGCTCCACGAACCCTGGGAGTTGGGCACAGCATTTTGTGTGAAGGGACACCTGCATTGTCCTGGGGAGAAAAGGGGCACATGGTCCAAAAATTAGAGCATAAACCTCCCATCTAAAACATGGCCCCAATGCATCAGGAAGTAGCTCGACGGCTACGTTGCCCTTCCTCCTGTTGGTATAGAAGGGTGACATTGACAGTAGGGAGTATGTTACAGAGGGAATGGCCTAATAAAAAAAACTGGCAAAAAAGTTTCCTGTCTCTTTAAAACCTTCTCACCTTTTTGGAAAACTAAAACCTGCACCCCTGCCTCAGGGCAGGGAATGTCTTTTGTTCTTTGTGCTACAGGAGATGGCTCCAGGGACCTGTCCTGGCAGAGGTCACAGGAGGGTCTTCTGCAGAGATGGAATGATCAGAATCATTGTTCATAATTGAATGACAATAGCCTAGAACTAAGAAATGTCCCTTTAAAAGCTCTGTATTTCTATTTATTATTAGGATGGTGGCATTTTTAGACAGGAGTCTCCATTCTCCTCATTTGCCAGCAAATTAATAAGCTCTTCTTTCTTTCTCCTTCCAAAAAAAAAAAAAAAAAAGAAAAGAAAAAAGTTCTAGACCCCTGCCTTTACCTTCCACAGCACCAGTGCCATGACCAGAACGGAGCTTCTGGGCCACCTCCCGAGAGTCTGGTTCACCTGCAGTCTTCCCCTCCCAGTTGACGCTTCTCAGGCTGAACACCTCGGCACCATCCCCTACTGCTCTCCTTCCCCGCCCACACCCTCACATCGCAGGCAAACCCCACGACCTCCACCTTGGAGAGATGTCTAGAGCCAACCGTCTCGCCACCTCCCCACTGTCTAAGCCACTCCGTCTCTCCTCGGTCACTGCCGAAGCCCCACAGTCCTGTCTCCGCGCCCCCTTCCCTCCCTCTCCATCCATTCTGAGCCCCTGCGTGGCTCCTGCCTCCACAGAGCAGAAGCAGACGTTCTTCCAGGCACCCACGGGCCCCACGGTTCCCGGTCCCTGTACTACTCCCCCAAGTCACTTGGTCCCAGCCAGGCCCACATCGTGGGGGCTGCTGGCAGATGCCAGGGCAGGGCAGCGTGGGGCTTTCCCCGCCTGCCATGGGCCAGGCTGCCTGACTGAAGGTACCCAGTAAGTGCAAGGAGACAGGAGGCCTGATTCCACCTAGCCCCAGCAGGGCAGGTCTGGGCAGGCCACATGCTCCCTCTTGGCTCAGAGACTCCATTTGTAAAACGGTGTCAAAGGAAATATTCTTTTCTAAGTGTTTGATTTTCTCAGTCAAATTATTTCACAGGAGCAACCTCAAGCCAGAGTATTTCCAAATATCCTGGAAATTGCTCATTTCCCTGACTCTTTCCTCTATTTCCAAATAGCTACCAGGTTCTGCTTCAGCTTCCAGGTGCCCAGGCTTGCTCCCTAGTTCCTCATTCTGCCCAGTCACCTCTGCCCTATGTCCTCACCTTAGCCTGCTAGCATCCATCTTGCGTCCTGCTGCTGTCTCCTTTGCAGGCTGCACCTTCTGAGATGACAGGGAATGTGGTCAAGGAAGCAGGTGGCTCTGGACTCCCCCCCTGGGTGCTGGCACCTTCCAGGGAGAGGCAAAGTTCATTGCCTGCCCTTGTCCCCAACATGGTGATCTTCAGCTGCCGGAGGAATGACTGAGTAGCCACGTGGGTTCTGGGAAGTCTCCTCTTGCAGCCCAGAGAACCCTGGAGCGGGGAGAGAGGTGTTGTGCAGCAGAGGCAGGGCTGAGAGTTGGGAAGGAGCTGGCACGGAGACAGGTGAGCAAACGTGCCAAGAGGAGCCACTGAGGCTACAGGGAGGGGCCCTCAGGCAAGTCTGAGTGCTGCGGGGCCCAGGGAGGGGCGGGATGGTGAGAGACACAGAGAGATGCAGAGAGAGGATGAGGGGCAGAGAGAGATTGAGAAAGGAGGGTGGTTCATAAAAGAGAGAGAAGGAGAGAACCACAGTTACAGATAACAGGACAGAATATGGCAGGGAGCCGGGTGGGGATGGGGACCCAACAATCACAAAGACAGATGACCGGAGTCAAGGACTGGGCGCAGACTGCTTGATTCAGCTTCAAGACAGAGACAGCGGGGAAAGTCACTCCTGCTCTGTCCCCAAGGCCTCCCTGCAGGGTGACATGTCTCTGCTAACACCTTTCTCACCCTAGATCAAGATGCACCTTGAGCCTGTGGAAAGGGACCCCCTTGCAGATCCTCGGGGCTCTGCGTGGTCTGGCTCATAGTGGGGATCAGAACTGTCTGGAAACAACAATAATAATTAATATTTACTGAGTTTTCAAACTATGGCTTACTTGCCTTTGCACTGAGCGTCTTACATAAGTTACTTAGTTAAATTCTAACAATATCATGAGGAAGGTACTTTTACTATTCCTGTTTTCACATGGGGAAACTGAGGCTCAGACAGGTTGAATGGTATGCCTAGATCTTGGAGGTGAGGAAGAATTAGAGCTGGTTTCAAACCACTCCCATCACTGTCCCTGTCTTTTGGGCGTGGGGTCACTTAGTCAATGAAAGAGGGGGCAAGGGCATGGCCTGGGATGCAGGCGTAGCACTGGATGTGCTCAGAAGAGCTGGGCTTAGAGGAGCTGAGGGACAGGAGTGCTGGGCTCATGGAGGGGAAGTGGAGGAAGACGGTGACCCCAGAGAATAAAGAACTCCTAACAGCCAATAAGAAAAAGACTGGCCAATCGATCAAAAAATGGACAAAAGACATTCCCCAACAGAAAGGCTAAAATGAAAAAGAAAGAGACAAGGATGTGAAGCAACTGGAACTCTCAAATATGTTTGCGGGAATGTGAATTATTACAACTAATTTTGGAAAACGGGTAAAATTTTCTTAAGTAGAACACATGCATATGCTGTGAAATTCCATTCCTACGTACATGCCCAGCAGAAATGAAGACATATGTTCACCTTGGCACGACTGTAATAACCCCAAGTTAGAAATGATCCAGGCTGGGCGCCGTGGCTCACACATGTAATCATGGCACTCTGGGAGGTGCAGGCAGGAAGATCGCTTGAGCTCAGGAGCTTGTGACCAGCCTCAGCAAGTGTGAGATCCCGTCTCTACTAAAAATAGAAAGAAATTAGCCAGGTGTGGTGGTGCGCACCTGTAGCCCCAGCTATTCGGGAGGCTGAGGCAGGAGGATCACTTGAGCCCAAGAGTTTGAGGTTGCTGTGAGCTAGGCTGATGCCATGGCACTCTAGCCCAGGTGACAGAGTGAGATTCTTGTTTCAAAAAAAAAAAAAAAAAAAAAAAAAGAACCAAATGTCATCATTACCAATAGAATAGACAGATAATTTTGGTACAGTGACATAAACAAAGGCTATACAACAATGAGGATATAAGTACTGTTTCTTCATGGAATAGCATAGGAGAATCTCATAAAATTTTAAACAGAAGAACACAGGCACAGTCCATACAATTCCATTTATAAAAATTTCAAACACAGTAGAAATTAATATGTTATGTTAGACGTCAGGATAGTGATTCCCTTTGGGGTAGTGATTGGAAAGGGGCATGTCGAGGATTTCTAGGGGCTGGTGATGTTCTAGTCCTTGAACTGAGATCTGTTTCACAGGGAGGTGTTCAAATTTTAAAACTTCCTCAAACCATACATTTACGACTTGTGCATTTGTTGCGTTATGTATGCGTGTGCATGTTATATACTTCAATTAAAAGTTTACTTTTAAAAGCCAAATATTACCACTTACAAACTGGATGAGGAATGTAAGTTTGGCTCGGCATTTGGAAATATAATAAATTGGTGCAATTCATCACAAAAGACAAAAATCCAAATGATTATTTCAATAGATGTTGAAATTCAACATCCATTTATGTTTAAAACTTTCCTAATCTACAAAAATCTATAAGTCTGCAAAACACCTACAGCAAGCAGACATCACATTTAAGGAGGGAAACACTGAAAGCTTTCCTTCTGAGCTCAGGAACAAGACCCGGATACTCTTATCTTCATATCTACTCAACATTGTACTGAAAGTCCCTTTCAGTGCAGCAAAATGATCGGAGAGGAAGTAATAAAGCTTCCATTGTTACGTTTGTGGACATTTCCAAGTAATTAGAATCTGTAAGTGAATTTAACCAAGTTGCCAAACACAACGATAATACACAAAAACAGATTGTGTTTCTAATGCCAGCAGTTATTATAAAATGAAATAAAATTTAGAAAATAACAAAGAAGAATGATCTCACAAACATAATGTTGAATGAAAGAAATCAGATGCAAAAGGACATATATTGCATGATTGATTCTATTTACATAAAATTCAAAACTAGACAAAAAAAATAGACTGGTAGTTTAGTAGCTAGTAGGATAGCAGCCAGGTTTGGGGGAAGTGGGAGGCTGTGAGATTGGGTGGAGGGATAAGGGGGCTTCTGGATGTTGGTAATGTTTTCTTTCTTGACCTGGATGGCAGTTACACGAGCGTTCTCTTTGGGATAATTCGCTCAATTGTACATTTATGTTTTTCCATTTTTCTACATGAGAGTTTTTTGTTTTTTTTTTTTAAGTTAAAAAAGATTACTTGGCCAGCTTGAGTTACTAATCTCAAATGGTCAATTGGCTGTGGCCAGATCAAAAGAGCCATGTGGTTCATAGGGTAGCTGGTAGGGTAGGGTGCAGGGCAGTAGGGCAGAGAGAGGTGGCGTGTGTGTGTGTGTGTGTGTGTGTGTGTGTGTGTGTGTGTGTGTATAGGAGAGCAGAAGAAAGTGATTGACATCTCATAGGGGGTTTCCCCTCTCTCTCTCTACCAAACAGGCCTCATATGAGTTAGAGAGCATTTCCTCATAGTTTTTGGAAGAGCTTATGTAGAATTGGTGATAATTTTTTAAACCTTAGGTAGAATTCAACAGTGACCCTGTCTTGAGTCTGAGATTTATTTTTGGGGAGTTTGAAAACTATAAATTCAATTATTAAATAGTTATAGAGCTATTCAAATGATCTATTTCCTATTGGGTAAGTTACAGTGGCTCGTTCCTTTGGAGGAATTGGTCTTTTTCATATAAGTTGTCAACTTTATGTGTGTAAAGATGTTTTAGTAGTCTTTGAATTATCCTGCTGTTGTCTTCAGGATCTGTAGTGATAGCTCTTGTTTCATTGTTGATATTGGCAAATTTTCTCCTTTTTTGTTTTTCTGTCTTGCTAGAGACCCAAGGAATGTGGTCAGCCTCTTGAAGCTGAAAAAGGAAACAAAAAAAAATTCTCCCACCAGAGTCTCCAGAAGGAACTCAGCCCTGTGCTCTTAGTCCAGTGAGACTGATTTCAAAAAACCTCTGACCTTGAGAATTATCAGATAATAAATTGGTGTTGTTTTAAGACCCTGTATCTGTAATCTCCAGGGTTTAATCTGGTACTTAGCGGGAGGCGTGGGGAAAGATGTGTCTACTCCTTCTTGATCCAGAACCGGAAGCGGAACATGCTGCTTTTAGGTGCTGGAGGCCTCACGGGCTGAGGCTCTGCTCCGTGGAGTGCACCTCTGCAGAGCGGAGCGGGGCCCAGTCGTGTTCAGCACTGCGAGGGCCTTAATCCAACGGGGGAAAGAGGAGGCGCTTCCCCAGGGACAGACTACAGCGAGAGGAGAGGAGAAGCAAGGGAAGAGGCCTCGGGACCGCCGTCCGCTGTGCAGTTCTGAGAGCTCCCTCAGGGACGGGCTGCAGTGGGGAGGTGAGGGGCAGGGAGACAGGTCAGAAGCCGAGGCAGGAGCCCGAGGTCATCTCATGACCAGGGCATGGAAAGCAGCAGGTGGCACAGAGGCAGGATGATGGGCCCCAGGTGACACGGAATGACTGGAAGAGAAGGGGGAATGGGCGAGGACACACAAGTATGGCCCTAGAGAGACTGAGCGTCCAGTCCCCGCCTTGCCTGAACACAGCGAGGAGAAGGCCATGGGAGGGGTCCAGGAGGGAAGGGAAGACGTGGAGATGAAGCAGGAGGGATGGGGCCGAGTAGAGAGAAGCTCTTTGATTGCTGAGTTTCCTTTACAGATGGGGCAACATTGGGCAACACCATTGGCTCAGACGCATTGCTCTCCTCTGCCCCCAGCTCCCCACGCCCTCAGCTTCCTCCTCACCCCCCAACAGCTCTTGCTCCAGGAGGTCAGAGGCCAATTAGGTGGCTGAACTTCAAGAGTCTTTTCCAAAATTGATTTTTCTGGAAATTAATACTCTCTGGAGGAAGTCTTTGCACAGTCAGGATTAAGCTTTGCTCGGTGGCGCAAGAAAAGGGGTGTCTTGCTCCCCCCCTCTGCCCCTTCTCTGTCCTTCGACAGGAACCCAGAGGAGGTTGAGCATGGGAGGACAGGGTGCCCTGGAGAGAACTCTGGACTAGAACTCTCTGCAGCTCGCCTGCCGTTTGCCTGCAGAGGGTGTAACTTCAGTAAAGACACACACTTGTGGTTATAAATGTCATAGCTTGTGGCAAGCACCTCCTAAAGTCATCCGAGTTTGTGCCCATTTCATTTCTGGTTTTAGCTGAACCAGAGTCCAGGGAGGAGTGGGGAGGATAGGATCTAGAGCTGGCAGGGAGAGGGACGGGAGGGACAGGAGGGAGTGTCCTGGAGAAGACCTGTGCCTGGAAGGAACTACATGGAGAGGTCCCGAGCTGCCAAGGACCCCCTGGAGACTCCAATAAGCCTCTGATTGCAACAGTAATCGACTAGGATGACAGCATCTCTGGCCTTGAAAGAGGGGCGTGTTAGGGTGCGGGTCTGTCCCCAAGGCCTCCAGCCTCCAGAGCTCTCCCAGCTCATAACTGGCACTGCCCTGGTACTCTTTAGTACCCTTACTCCTTGTCCTTGGAAGCTGATGGGGCTGTAGAGGAGGAGGAGGCCTTTAAGTGGGAGAAGTAGGTCCCTGCAGAGTGCTGGGGGTGACGGAGGAATCTCCTCTCTAGCCTTTCCATCCTCAGGACACGACAGGCAGACGCTGCACAGGGCAGGGCAGGTGGTACCAGCTGGCTGGTGCCCCTCTCAACTCTCCATGCACCTTCACACAGAGCTTGTCCTCAGCTCTCCACGCCCAACTGGTCTGCAAGCCCCGGGGGAGGCCCTCCCTGGGGCCAGGCCCTTGCAGAGATGGATCAGCCACGGTCCTTCCCTCCTGAGCTCAGAGTGAGGGGACAGACACAGGGACAGGGGCAGTAGTTACAAGTGCTTTGATAGAGCAAGGCCAGCCAGGGTCAGAGCCCTCCCCGGAGAGGACACCCACGGCACCTGCAGACATGTGTGTTTACAGGAGCGAGCAAGAGACAGAGAGCCAGGGGTAGAGAAAGAAGCCAAAGAGAGGGAGAGAGACAGAGGAGAGGGAGAAGGCAGGGATCAGGGCAGAGACACAAACAGAGAGCAGGACAGGGTAAGACTCTGAACAGTCTCGAGAAAGCGGGCGCTGGGGGCAGCGTGTGCTCTGTGAGAACGAGGGGCGCGAGGGGGAAATGACTGCTCCACTCTCGCCTCCGCCCCCAAAGCTCCCAGCAGCCAGGTCAACACGCTCTGCACTCTGGACGGCGACCCTCTGGGTCCACATGGACCCTCCTGCTGGACCAGGTGCCCCCAAGGCGGGGCCACTTCCCTGTACCCCGAAGCCCAGCTGGGTATTTTGCACACGACGGGGACTCGTGGGTGTATGCAAATATCGACATGGAGCCTGTACTGAGCACGGCGTGTGCATCTCGACAGCAGGAGGGCGCCCCTGTGAGGAGCGAGCCCAGAGGGGCGCGGGGCCCAGGTGAGGAGGAGGGGTGGGAGGGGCTGGGAGGCGGAAGAGGAAGAAGAGGCTGCTCCGGGCTGACCTCTGTGGGTCCTTTGTAAGTTGGGCAACGTTTGGCAACCATGCGCATTGGTCAACAAAGCCTCTGTTTTCCTGGGCTGCCCCCAGCTGGGCTGTCCTCCTGAGGACAGGTCCCGCCAGCCACAGAGACACGCCCAGACTCGCCAGGGCCCTCGGTTCTGTTCAAGAGGCCAACGTGGGGCCGAGCGTCAAGGCCTTTCTCTGGAAGTCATTGTCCCCATGGTGGAGTCTTGCAGGGACTTGGGTCGGTAGAGACCCAGGCAGCTCTGCATTTCCCTCTCGTTCGTGCTCATTTTCTGCCCCCTCTTCAGGGCGATCAGCAAAGGAATGGTCAATACCAAGGCACCAGGGGCCCTAAGGGGACACCAGGTGGGGTCCGGGTGGATTTCTAGATCTGCCACTACCCGACGGTGAGTGTGGCGAGTCTCATTGGCTGAGTCCACTCACTTGGGGACAGCTCTGATGAGGTGCCGCATGGTGGAAGGGGCTGGACAGTGCCTGGTTCACAGAGAGGTTCAGCCCTTGTTAGCTTTTCCTTCCCGCTGAGAGTCACGAGAGCAGGCACACCCCTGGGCCTCAGGGTCTGCATCCGGAGCTCCCAGAGGCCTCCTGGGCCCTGGAGGAGAGAAAGCCCCTGCCCTAAGGGGAGACTTGGGGCAGTTGCATCTCTAGAGCTCACTCACTGCGTGTCCACAGGCAACCCTCGGGGTACCTGCTTTTAGAATGGGAACAGTGACTGTCTTAACACACATGGGTGCCGTTAGAGTCACATGAGACAAAGTCACCAACAGCTCTGTTTGGAGTTTCAAGTGCCATCCAAATGCTAATGAGCATTATCTTGCCTCTCTGCTAGGGATGGCACCGCCAGCCACACACAAACAGGCCCACACTTGCATGGGAACTGCATGGCACCAACCAGTGACAAACATGGGCGGTGGTGTGCTGATACACCGATGCTCTGGTGGGGGTGGTGGCATTTACTAATTTCCATGGTGTAAATACATCATGACTGATAGCAAGCTGCCATCAGTTCCTCCACCACAAAATCCTTAATTTTTATTTAGCAAGTGGCTCTCTACCAAGTCAGCAACCTCACACCACTGGCAGGGATGAGAAACAAGGTCTGGGGTCTCCTGTTGGCCAGGCTTGTGTCCGAATGTGATGGATGTCTTGGGAGCTTCTTTTCTCCTTTTTGCCATCTGGATCCGGGTCTGCCCAGATCACACGCTTCCTTACCAACACTCCTCTTGGGGTTTGAGGCGAGAGGATTCATAGAGGGTGGGGGGTGGGGTTTACCAGTCTGTGGCTTGGCCAAAGACTGTTGCCCTGCTGATGGGGCTTGGGCCCAGTCAAGGCCTGCTATCTGCAGAGGCTCTTTGTGCAAGTTTTGAGGGTGGGGGCGGCGTGGAGGAGGAGAGAAAGTCAGCCCCCACACCTGCCTGTTGAACACCAGCTCTAGCCACTGTAAAGCCGTTTGCACCAGCAGCTACCTCTCCGTGCTTCTTATATTCATGCCACTAGCCCAGTACCTGAAAACCTGTATTCTACCTCCCTGCAGCTCTTCAAGATCTGGCCCAGCTCCTGGCATGTTGGAGATGCCCTATAGATTGGTGTTAAATGAATGAATAAATTAATGAGTCCATGTACACAGGTTCTGGGGTGGCCTGGCTTAGCCAGGCCTGCCCTTCACTGCCCTTCTGACCCAACACATTGCAAAGAGGACCCTTTGGCCCACTCCTAGCCTGTTCCTCCTCCTCATTCATTCCTTCCTTCAACCGATATTGATCATCAAGAGCCCGTAACATGCACAGAGCTAGCTGGTCAGGGAATCTGAGGATGCCTCTGTGGCTGTTTGTTTGATGGATCTGGTGGAATGCAGTAGGAAATATGAGAGAAGGTGTAGGGCTGGAGGCAGCCGGTGACTTGCATTTTAGATACATTAAATTTAGGTGCCTCCAGGACCTGCAAGAGGACCTGTCCAGAGACAGATGGACACAAGTACAGAGCTCAGTCTAGAGGAGGAGGAATTTGTTGATCCTTCTTCCAGCAAGAGTTCCAGGCAGGAAAGCCCAGAGTGGCCTTTTGTTGCCCCAGGTGCTCAGGTAATTTGTCACTGGGTACACACTCCCAAGCTTTTACTTGGCAGTTTGCCAAGTACTGTATCTGTATAAATCCTGCTCTTCATTCAGGTCTCAGGTCAAAAGCTCTTCCTCACACTCCTCTGGGGCCCTCCTGATGGGAATTTGGCCATTCCTCCCCTGAGCCCCTACCTTTACTTGGTTTATGCTGTTTGGCCTCTTCCCAGGTGGCTTGTGATAGAACTGTGTGCCTGTGCCTGTCCCTCCCCCATTGTGCTGTGAGCTCCCAAGGGCACGGAGACCCTTCTTCTCTGT